GGGCTTATAAGAGGCTATTTCGACTTGATTCTAAATGTATGCTCATATGAATTTATATAACATTGTAGTTTGAATTTCACTATTTTGATGCAACAAGGTTACATAGAGGAATTTGTTTTGTACAAGTTCCAAAATCTCAACCCCAAGTTGCTAGTTGTGACACCATACAATAAACATACTGTCAGGCATATCTGGGTGCCCGACCTACCCTGCTGAGCATACCTGGGTGCTCAACCTACCCATGTTATACATAACAGGGGTGTCCGACCTACCCCTGTCAGGCATACCTGGGTGCCCGACCTACCCATGTCAGGCATATCTGGGTGCTCGACCTACCCTCCGGTTTATTTCAACCGGTTACGGGTCTATTTCACCCCTACCATTACCACATAATATCATATCATAATCATATTGTCAGGCATATCTGGGTGCCCGACCTACTCTCCAGTTTATTTCCAACCGGTTACGTGGCCTACTTCCCCCTTCTACCACTACCACATAATAACATAGCATACAAGCACATAAATCTCTACAGATAGTGGCATACCAGACAATTATCACAAAGACAATCATCTCTACCATAAACAACTACTAATGGGCCGACATTGGTGCCTTCGACCCACTCATACAGGGAAGGTAACTCACCTTGAATACTAGAAGTAGTTGAAAATCCTCGGCTCCGAATGTCAACCCCACTCAAGATCCTAAACATAAAAGATTTCCTTAATTACCCTTTCACACTCATAACCCCTTACGGGTCAACTTGGTCAAAGTCAAAGTCAAAGTCAACGCTCCGAGTTGACTCGACTCGTCGAGTTTGTCCTTCAACTCACCGAGTTCTCAAGAATCATAAAATCATGGAATTGCGATCCAACTCATCAAGTTTTCCTCTAACTCGCTAAGTTCCTCCTTGACTCACGGAATCGCGATATCCTGAGTTGACTCGTCGAGTTTCTCCTACAACTCGTCGAGTCCTTCTTTTTCCAACAGAGTCGGGACACTTCCAAATCAACTCGTCGAGTTCCCTTATGGACTCGTCGAGTTCTTCAGTTTGTCATCCTTCTTAATGCATTAAGTCTCTATTCTTCAAACCAAGGCCCTACCTTCTAGATCCAAGTTGGAAATATGTCTTGGAGGGTAAAGTTTCCAACTTTACCTATTAAGAACCTCTCCCCAATGCATAAACTCAAACCCTAACCCAAAAGGGCTTAGATCCAACTCCAAAAGCCATTAAAACTTCGAGATAGACCATGAGGTCTTAGATCTGGACTTTAGGGACAATTTGGTCACGTAGAGCTCCCATCTTTACTCGCATGCATGACCTACTAGGGCTTAAAAGACCAAAAAGATGGTCTAGAAGTTGCATGGGACTTCCATGGCCATAAAGTTGGCACCTTTATGCCATGAAGCCCCTTTAAGACCCTAGATCTGAAGGGTTTGCCCAAGTGGGACGTCCAAATCCCAACCATCAATATCTTTGGGCCAAAACATGAAGAAAATCATCCTAAAACTAGATCTAAGCATGCCCTAGACAAGGTTGAAGCTTTATGCCTCAAATGAACCAGAAATGAAGCTCAACTTCTGGATCTACTCTCCTCCCACACGTTATTGCTCCTCCTTCAAGCTTCTCCTTCTTCAACTCACCAAGAAAGCACAAGATTAGCTCACAATCACCAAAAATGGCTTAGGGTTTCAAGATTAGGGTTTTTGGCAGTGGAGGCTGGAGATGAGGCCAACACCTTGGGGTTAAGGTGTTTAAATAGGGTGCAAAACCCCGGAATTAGGGTTTCATTTCTGCCAGCCTACTCGTCGAGTTGAGGTTCCCCAACTCGTCGAGTAGGTTTCCAAAATCTGCGTTCCAATTCATCTCTACTCGATGAGTTTGGAGCCTCCAACTCGTCGAGTTTCTATATAAAAGTGAATAATTATAAATTAAATACATACCAGGAACCATTTGTTTATTTCTTATGCTCTATCTAGAAATGCACAGAGGTCATAGTAAAAGTTCTGAAGGATGCTATGAACAGTACATATGCTCCTGAATATGATATTTCTGGGATTTCAAATCCTTTTCTCCAAATAAGATTACTTCCTATTTTACAGATAGTGGGTCATGGAGATGTTGTTGCTAGTGATATCATGAATGATGTCCTTGCTCAGGTTAGCTTCCATCTTTTATGTGATATCTTGTTAATTTGTCATGATATCTAATATGGTTTAGGTTGAAATCCTCCATACATCTATTCACTATATATACATTTAGTCATTTTGATTTTATTTGTACATATAGGGGCCCTACTAAACTTTTTAAATTTGTATCGTATACACCATTATGAACAACTGTAGCAGCAGGTTTCTTGTAGGAAATAATGGTATAATCAGTACACAAAAAAGAGTTTAAGGAAATTTGACTAATAAAAAAATCTATAGTGATCAAATGTTGATAGGGAATAGTTGGTTTCTAATATATAATTTTATTATTCATGTCTACTTTTTTATTCTTGCGAAATTACATAAATTATAGGTTAAATACATGAAATAGTAATATACTTTTATTTTTTGTTCAATAACCAACTATATATTCTTAAATACATGTGAGATTTTATTAACATAAAGTTTAGAGACCGAATATAGTTGGTTATTAAACAAATAAATAAAAGTTTTATATAATTTTGAAAGTATCAATCTGCACAAAGCTTCAATATATATACACCCACCTCATTTAAGTTTTTTTGTTTCCTAAAATACCCTTGAATGGAAACCAATCCCCAAAGACAAGGAATGGTTCTTGTATCTGGAAATGGGGGAAAGCTTCAAGAAAGGGCTGTTGTGAATGAAGTTGAGGACGATGATTTATTTTTTGACCATTATGCCCCTCCTCCTTTCATTCCTCTGTCATTCCAAAGTGATCATTTATGTTAGTAAATTAGATTAACATTTAAAGAAACATGAGTAAATAATAAAAGATGTAACTGAAGTATTTTTTATTAGTATAGTCAACAAACTTTACTACAAAACCACTTTGGATGTTAAAACATGACTTCTAACTATAAAGTGAGAGTTTTAAAAAAAGATTACCATAGCGATTCCAAGAAAAGAGACGCATGCTCTTTTTATTTTGAGAATAAAGATTTGAAAAGTATGGGTGGCATTTTCTATTTTAAGGACATAAACTGAAATTTCGAACATATATTAACTGTTGTTACATAAACTTAAGAACAGCGATGAATATTGAATAAAAATTTAAAAGGTAAGTGCCATTCTAATTGATTTAATTAGGTCCGATACTAAAATACATAATAAAAAGTGTATGGCCATTCAAATATTTTTTCCACAATATGTTGTACTTACTACCTTCTTACAATGTACAAGCAGCATTATGCTCTATAAGAATTATAAAGAAAGTCTCGGACCTTGCATATTTTAGAAAGGTATATTGACCTTGTTTTTTTTGTTTTTTTCGATATTTTGATTGGGGTTTGTGAATATTTTTAGGAAGTTGTATTGACTTTTTTGTTTGTTTTTTATCCTCTATCTAGAAATGCACATAAGGCATAGTAAAGGTTCTGAAGGACGATGTGAACAGTCCATATGATCCTGATAATGGGATCCCAACTGTAGCATTGTACTGTGAAAGTTCATTGCTATAATTGGGAAAACATTCATTTGTTCGAAAAAAAAACAGAAAAACACAAACAAACAACAACAGTAATTGTAATGTAATCGGAACAATAGTTAGATGACAGAAACATATGGAATAGAAAAAAAAAAGTAGAAAGAAGAATAAAGAAACAGTACGAAATAGAAAGAAACAGATAGAATACCTACCGAGTTGAACTTGTATGAAGCAGATGGAATAGAAAGATCTAAAAGAAACAGGAAGAAGACGAATGAGCTTCCTTATCGTATCACATGAACGTATATATTTGTAGATAAATTTCATGCAAATCGTCAAAATTTTTATAAATATCGGGAGATATTAGTTTTATCACATTAAGTAAGTATGTGATACCGGATTATTAGTTTGACAACTTTTTTTGTTTTTGAAATTCATAATTTAAAGGAATGTAGATATTGAATTACCTTATTTACAGATGATGTTTTTTAAATTTTAAATTTCAAAATCGTTGTCTACTGAGTAGAGACTTAATTCCGTTTAAAAGGTCTACATTTTTAGGTGTAGATTGAATTCCAAATTGTCACCTCTTTTGACCACATTAATTTTGGTATTTTAATCGAATTTAATGATTACCGGATTTGTTGATATTGATTTTAAATGAAAACTGAATTTGTTGGAAATGTCTCATAGAAGGACAAGTGGCATATGCTGACTTGGAAGGCTATGGAAATGACATGTGTCAATTGAAACTATTTTTTTATTAATAAGGGTATATATATATATATATATATATATATATATATATATACTAGGTTATAACCCGTGGAAACCCCGGTCCGTATATTTAAAATTTTTATATAGATAAAAAAAATAATAAATGTAAAAAAAAAAAACCAAGATATTGTCGATTGTAAGTAATTATGAATTAATTTGTTAAGAAAAATAAACATAATAATATTATTAAGATATGATTTTGTATTTTCAAAATTTGAATTGAATTTGATTTGTTAACAAAAAAAAAATAATAAATGTAAAAAAAAACCAAGATATTGTCGATTGTAAGTAATTATGAATTAATTTGTTAAGAAAAATAAACATAATAATATTATTAAGATATGATTTTGTATTTTCAAAATTTGAATTGAATTTGATTTGTTAACAAAAAAAAAAAAATAATAATCATCATAAAAAAATGTCACCTATCAAAAAGACATTCTAAAAAACTGACACGGGTCATTTTTAGCATTTTTAGGTTTCATTTATTAGAAGAGATAGATATATATATATTCAAATGATAACAATTCTTATCTCAGAGCATTATTCAAGAGATAGATATATATGTATTCAAATGATAACAATTCTTATCTCAGAGCATTATTCAGTCCCTTCTTTTAAAAAACATTTTATTCTTCATTAATTTAATGATCTAATTTTTCGTTTGTTATAATATTAATTAAAAAATAAAAAATACCCCATCCAAACCACCACCATAGCAATTACATTGATTTATCAAACCCCACAATCGAAGCAGCTCCACCAACACCGGTCTGCCACCGAGCAGCCGGCAGCCTTGGATGTCGGACCACCGTCAGAATGCTGTTTTTCCGCTTTCTAAGAATCTACTTCACGACCTCTTCTCCGCTGAAACGCCTCCATATCTAGTTTCACCAGAGTTTGTTCCCGATCTCAAAAAACAAATCACGAATCCGGAGAAATCTCCATCAGAATCAATACTATCACATAGGAGGTAAGATTAGGTAAATCTGACCGCCTGATTTCTATTCCGGGAGCTGAAAAACAAGTGTCGAACCGTTCAATCGACGAGCGTGTCTATCGATTTCATAGATGAGTGGTGACGACGAGATCAAAAAGACGATATTGACGGTAGGTACGTCGGAGGTGAGGAGGAGGTCAGGCAACTGCATGCCGTTTGAACCACCTGACCACGCTGCTTCACTCTTTTCAGATCTGTTGTTCTTCATCTCCCTCCGACTCCCATCGTTGGAAACCAGACCGCCACCGCTTGACTCTCTTCAGATCTGTTTTTCTGTCATCTCCCTCCGCCTCCCACCGTCGGAAACCACTATTGGAAACCACCTCCTCCGCCTATTTACTTACCGCCAACTTACCAACGCTGAATTTACCACGCCAACCTTCTCACATGACCTTCATCCGCGCCCCTCCTCTGGTCATCCTTCTCGCACCAACTTTCGCATTCGTCCCTACACCATTCGAACTTGGAAATGCCAATGGAGATTATTCTTTCATCTTCTCGATTTCACACAACTATGATATATATATATAT